GTGCTGTTGGAGAGTGAGCAAGTTAACATTTATGAAGGGGTTCAGGGAAACCGTCAGTCCGGACTTGAGTCCTGAGAATGGAAGTACCAGTGCCTGCACTCTGAAGAGGGATGTTTAATGATTGCAATTTAAAAAAAAAAAAAAACTGTATTGTAAGCACCTTCTGGCAAACAGTGCGTGTATTGACTGATGGTGAAGTTTTTCTTTTTGCGGGTCCACCCAGCCTTGGAGGAAACGTCCAGTGTGATAATAAACAAAAATGATAATAAAAATTATTATTATTATTATATTCCTCTTTCTCTCTTCTTCCTCCCCTCCTCCTCCTCCTCCGTCTTCTTCTTACTTCTTTCTTCTTCTCTCTTCTTCTTCTTCATTCTTCTTCTTCTCTTGCTTCAACTTCTCTTCTCTTCTACTATTTCTATCATCTTCTTCTCTTCACTTCCTTCTTCTTGCTTTCTTCCTTCTTCTCTTCATCTTCTTATTCTTCTATTACATTTTTCTTCTTCTTCTTCTTCTTCTTCTTCCTTTCTTTCTTCTACTTCTTCCTTCTTCTTCCTCCTCCCTCCCTCCACTGCCATCCTCCTTCGTCTCCTCCCCCTTCCCTCCTCTCCCTCCCTTCTGTTCCTCCATTCCTCCTCCTTCCTTTACTTCCTCTGCCTTCCTCCTCCTTCCTTACTTCCTTCCCTCCTTCCTTCCTAGCTTCGCCCCTTCCTTCCTTTCCTTCTCCTTCCTTCCTTCCTTCCCTCCTCTTCTTCCTCTCCTCCTCTTCTTCCTCCTACCTCTCTTCTTTCCTCCTCCTTCCACTTCCTCCTCCTCCTCCTCCACCTCCTCCATTGCTTTTTGGGTCTCAAACTCCTCAAATCAATGAAATGAACTTCACTGACACTTCATCTGTGTATAGAGCATCACTTGGGAAGAGAAGATTCCCAGATTTGTGCTGGGGAGTCACATATTTATTACCGCTAGACATGCTGAAATAGGACCGCTGAAAGGCATTCCCACAAATGCACCACTGGCTCCCCGATTTTTTTTTTTATGTGTGCACACCATAAAAATATAACCCATTCGTCTAACATATGGGCTCTACCCCAGCTTTTCCTCCTGCTTGATTTTGAAGCCGCTAAATTTCTGCGATAGATACGTCCAAACACGGTATCTCCTATGACTGTATATATACGACCGAAACAGTCCAAGGTTAATTTGTATAAAACAGGCCAGGTTTTTGGAAGAAAATGCCAAACATGACCTACATTAGCTACTCTGGAGGGTAAAGGCACTCCCAGGACACAAGCCTATGAAAGACAGGCTAACTCTCATGTTTTGTTGTAATGCTAGTGGGGATTGCAAAGTGAAGCCTTTGCTCATGTATCACTCTGAAAATCCCAGAGTGTTCAAGAAAAACAGTGTCTCATCACTCATCAATACTCTTCAATAAAGGTACCATTTTAGTATTTATATATGTATGTATTGGGCATATCTCATTGTTTTCTGTGTAGGGAAATCTATATTTCATGTAGAAAAATATTTTTTTAATAATTTTGGCTGTCTGGAACGGATTAATTGATTTCCAATATTTCTTATAGGGTAAATTAATTCAACTAACAGCTAATTCGACTAAAGGCTAGCTCTCTGGATTGGATTAAAGCTGTTGGTTGAGGGTCCCCTGTATTGGGTAGTTGAAATAGTTGATTGGGCACATTCTTGTGCTCAATTGATAAAATAGAAATACAGTGGTCCCTCAATTATCGTCCATAATCCGTTCCTTGAAGTGGGACTATTATCAAATACAATGGGAACCGGTCAAAATCGAACTTAAATATCCGTTCCAGGAGATCTATTCTAAATTCGAAAAGTGGCAGAAATTCGAGAGACAATATTTCCCATATGAAAATAATGAAATACAATTAATCCGTTCACAGAAACCCAAAAATATTCACAAAAATAATACATTTTATAGAGATTAATTACAGTTTTACATACACACAACAAATGCTATAGTCTTTAATTATGAATATTAAGTAAAAATAACAATTTTACTTACCGTTATTGAAGATATGGTGATGGCATCTGAAGATAGGAGGAGGAGAGAGGGAGTTGGGGTTAATTGTTTGGAAGAGAATCCCCCCTCCATGAGGACTTCCGGTATCAAAGCCCTCACTGGGGTTGCCTTCCCTTCTCGTTATGTAAAATGCGCACTAGGAACCAGCTTTAGAGTCATTGACCGCCTGTCTCACAAAATAACTGTCTACAGACATCTGTTTTTTCCTTTTCTGGTCCACAAAATAACTGCCACAATCGTCCTGTTTGTCTCACAAAATAACTTCACAGTTGTCTGTTTCTGTCTCACAAAATAACTGTCCACACTCGTCTGTTTCTGTCTCATAAGTAACTCCAAAGTCGTCTGTTTCTGTCTCACAAAATAACTCCACAGTCATCTGTTTCTGTCTCACAAAATAACTCTCCACAGTCATCTGTTTCTGGCTCACAAAATAACTGTCCACAGTCGTCTGTTTCTGTCTCACAAAATAACTGTCCACAATCGTCTGTTTGTCTCACAAAATAACTCCACAGTCGTCTGTTTCTGTCTCACAGAATAACTCCACAGTCATCTGTTTCTGTCCCACAAAATAACTGTCCACAATCGTCTGTTTCTGTCTCACAAAATAACTGTCCACAATCGTCAGTTTGTCTCACAAAATAACTTCACAGTCGTCTGTTTGTCTCACAAAATAACTGTCCACAATCGTCTGTTTCTGTCTCACAAAATAACTGTCCACAGTCCTCTGTACATCCTGACAAGCTCAACAAGTCTCGCACCACTCTCATACTTGTGTATTATTTCCTTCTTCACATCTATGGTGTTTCTCACTTTCTTTACCACAGGGGTACTGCTAGCAAGTTTCTTTGGGCCCATGGCAGCTTATTTCACAGTCCCACAAGTACTAAACACAACGAAATAATCGTAAAATGTGTGAATGAGATCGCAGGTTAATGTTCACTCAGGCATAAACAAAGCTAGACTGCTCACGGCCCCTGCATGGGGACGTGGACAGAGCGGGCCAGCGGACAGGTCCCATACCCGGCAGTCCGAAATTTGAAACGCTTTCGATTTTTGGTACACAGTTTGCCCGAAAAAATGGTCTTATTTTCGAAACGTTCGATATTTGGTACGTTCGATTTTCAAGGTTCCACTGTAGACGATTTTCGAATCAATTTTCCCCATAAGAAATAATGTAAATACAATTAATCCGTTCCTGACACCCAGAAGTATTAAAACAAAAAAATTTTTGCATGAAATATAGATGTAGTACATAAACAATACAATGGCACATGATGAATGAAACATTAACAGCATAACACTTACCTTTATTGGCGATTCTTCTTAGTGTATGGAAGACTGGAGGAGGAGAGAGATTGAATTACTGTTTGGAGGGGAATCCCCTTCCATCAACACCTCAGGTACCAAGTGCTTTTATGGGGTTACTTCTCTTCTCTGTTTCTTAATGCCACTAGGACCAGCTTGAGAGTCACTGGAGTCCTGTCTCGCAAAAAACTGTCCAGAGAGCTCTGTTTCTAGCGTCTCTTTAAAACTTCCCTGAAATGGGCCAAGACTTTGTCACTGTACAAGTTGCCGATATGGCTTGCAACATCCTTCTCAGGGTGATGTTTCTCCATAAATCTTTCCATCTTACCCCACATTTCAAAAATCTCCTTAATTTCTGAAGAAGGCACCTTCTTCCATCTCTCTTCCTCCTCCTCTGCAGCAAGATCTGAGCTGCGATCTGTTGTTCTTCCTGCTGAAACTCTTGCTCCTTTCATATTGTTCAATGATGTTTTTCTTAAATTCAATCATATTTCTCACCTTCTTTACCAAAGGTTTGGCACTAGGAGCTTTGTTTGGAGCCATGTTAGCTTATTTAGCACTTGCAAGCACTAAAATGAATGGAATATTATGAAATATTTCATATGAAACACGTGAGGGGACCGCCGCTCACTGTAAACAATGGCACACTGGCTGGGAATGGCTCAGAGCCATGAGTACACGTCCAGGACGAAAGACGATTAGTGAGTTAACGGACCATTTGCGAGCCAATGTTTAGACGAAATAACAAGACTACAGTGGACCCCCGCTTAACGATCACCTCCCAATTCGACCAATTATGTAAGTGTATTTATGTAAGTGCGTTTGTACGTGTATGTTTGGGGGTCTGAAATGGACTAATCTACTTCACAATATTTCTTATGGGAACAAATTCGGTCAGTACTGGCACCTGAACATACTTCTGGAGTGAAAAAATATCGTTAACCGGGGGTCCACTGTATTTCCGAAATGGACGACTTTCAGGCCGGACGATTATTGAGGGACCACTGTAATACTAGCAAAGTATATAAGAATTTGGTGAACTGGAATAATGTAATTGGCCTAAAATGAGAGTCAACATGGACAAAATTGCCAATGCATAAATATCGCAGAGACAGCAAATTTTGCAAGAATGTAATTTTGCCAATTATCCATCAAGTTTAATCCTTTTTGTTTTATTACCTTCAGAAAAAGATTCTGTACCATTTCCTAAGAAAAATAACAATTTTTTTTTTTTTAAATTCTTGTACCTTGCAGACAAGTTTCAGATCGGGAGTTTGAACCCTGATCTGAAACTTGCACTACAGTTTGTTATAACATACTATTTTTTAATGAATTTCACAATACTGTAGCTGAAACAACTTACAAATATCCTGCACTTAAGAAGAAACTTATGATAATGTTTCAGTCCATTCTGAACCATTGTCAAGTGACAGTGGTCCATCCTGGACCATTGTCAAGTGACTGGTCCATTCTGAACCATTGTCAAGTGACTGGTCCATTCTGAACCATTGTCAAGTGACTGGTCCATTCTGAACCATTGCCAAGTGAGAGTGGTCTTGGACATACCAAAATGTTGTCATAAAATTCCTGTCTGAAACATGGATTATTTTTTAATTAATGTTACTCATTGTTCCAGGTTTTGTGGCTGTATGAGAAGTACTTCTCAACAATGGCAGACATTACTCTGACAACCCTGAAGATCCTCAATGATCGAGTATTCCCTGCCCACCAGCAGTCGATGCAGCAGTGGAACACTCGACCTGTACCCTCAGCAGTTGACAACCCTCTCTTCCTCCCTATCACTGCCCCAGCAAATGAAGGCTTCACAGCAGTTATCCTTACCTACGATCGCTTGGAGTCGCTCTTTCAGGTATTTGCTGTAATTGCTAATGTATTTTTTGACGTATAGTACCTGTGACCAGTTTTGATAGTACAGTTGGACCCCCGTATCCATGGGTCCGGTGTCCTTGGTTTCAGTTATCCGCTGTTTACCATGGCTCAAAAGTAACCCTTAATTTTGTTAATAATGACCTCAAAGTGCAAAAGTAGTGATGGTGAAAGTTCTTCAAAGCCTTAAAGAAGCCGTGATGTGTTTCCCATCAGTGGGCCGTGCGGACGTGCTGCACAGTAGCTCCTGATTGAGTTGGCTTTTGAGCAGTGGTGACGTGTACTTAGCTCTGTGAAGACCTGTTTGCGCGCTCTCTAGAATTGAAGCAAGATGCCCTCCATCGAGTAACTTTACCAACAGCTTAAGGAAGAATTGAGGATGGCGAATATGGAAATTCGGCGACTGACCGAGGAAAACAAGAAGATTCTTAGTAGTCCTCCTGTTTTGAGTCCTCAGGTCAAGAAGGGAAACTGGTCAGTGGCTGGACAGCAGGGAAAGAAGTTGACGATCAAGAAGACGAATGGAAAGGTAGAAACGACGAAGAAGAAAGTGACTGCCGTGGAAACTGTTGTGGAAACATCTAATACATTCTCAGTGCTACCCGACGAATGTGAGTCGACTACTGGGAACGTCACGATGAAAGACATTAAGGGAAGGTAAGAATATTGTTGTTGTTGGGGATAGCCAAGTTAGGTATATGGATAGGGCGTTCTGCTTGAAGGACAGGAGTAGGAGACAGAGAGTTTGCTTTCCTGGGGCTGGGATGGAGGATATTGTTAGCCGTCTGGATGACATCACGAGAGGTAATGGGAGCAATCCTATTATCTGTCTCAGTGCTGGAGGCAACGATGTTGGCAGACGTAGGAGTGAAGACCTGATTAGCAGGTATAGGTCAGCAATAGAAATAATTAGGAGTAAGGGTGGAAACCCTCTCATATGTGGTATTTTGCCAAGGAGAGGAGTTGGAAATGAATGGCTGTCCAGGGCAGTTGGTGTCAATTGCTGGCTGGACAAATACTGTAAGGAAAATGTGGTAACATTCATTGACAACTGGGACCTCTTCTATGGCAGAAATGACATGTATGCCAGGGATGGGGTTCACTTATCTAGGTCTGGGGTGGTAGCACTGGCAACTGCAGTGGAGGGAGCAGTTAGGACTTTAAACTAGGAATAGTTAGTGGTATGGGTTTTGGCAGGAAAACAGTGAAGTCCCAGTGTAGTAATATTACGAGTTCTAGGGGAACTAGTAATAATAAGAACGAGGTAGATATTGAAAAGCCAGGGACCTTGGGTGATAAGGACAGTAATAGATTTAGTAGAAAAATAGAAATGAGCAGGAAGGGTAAAGAGAAAGGAGAGTCTTTCAATGTTTATTATGCTAATTGCCGTAGTGCTAGGAATAAGATGGACGAGTTGAGATTAGTTGCTAGTGCAGGTAACATTGATGTATTTGCCTTAACTGAGACGTGGTTTAATTCAAAAAGTCGGGACATGCCTGCGGAATGTCATATTCAGGGTTTTAAATTGTTCCAAGTAGATAGAAGTATCGGGAAGGGGGGTGGGGTGGCATTGTATGTCCGAGATCGCTTGAACTGTTGCATAAAAATGGGTATTAAGTCTGAAGTAACACATACAGAGTCTGTTTGGATAGAGTTTTCAGAGGGGCATGAAAAACTGATTTTAGGAGTGATATACCGTCCCCCAAACTTAGATAGGGACCAAGGGAGACTACTATGGGAGGAAATTGTTAAGGCCACAAGGCACGATAATGTAGTAATTCTAGGAGACTTTAACTTTAGTCATATTGATTGGAATTTCTTGACTGGGAATTTAGAATCATACGACTTCTTAGAAGTAGTTCAGGATTGTTTTTTGAAGCAGTTTGTGACAGAACCTACAAGGGGAAATAACCTGCTTGACTTAGTTATGGCAAACAATGAATCCCTTGTTAATAATTTAGAAATTTCAGAGGAACTGGATGCTAGCAACCACAAATCAATTACATTTAGCATTGAATGGAAGTACGATAGTAGCGATAACTCAGTAACAGTCCCAGATTTTCGCTTAGCAGATTACGATGGGCTTAGAGAACACTTATCATCTTTTGACTGGGGTAACGAAGAGAGCTATCAATATGACAGTTTTCTGAACACTATACATGCTGCTCAAGGAACGTTTATCCCATATAAAGAAATTAGATCAAATAGAAATGACCCAAAATGGATGAATAATAGGCTCAAATATCTACTAGGGCATAAGAAAGGAATTTATAGGCGTATCAAAAGAGGTGAGGGTCATCTTATGAATCAGTATATTGACATTAAGAGGGACATTAAAAAGGGGATAAGAAAAGCTAAAAGGGACTATGAAATTAAAGTTGCTAGGGATTCTAAAACTAACCCAAAAAGTTTTTTCCACGTCTATAGAACAAAAGTTAGAGATAAGATAGGTCCCCTTAAAAATAACTATGGGCACCTTACTGACAAAGAGAATGAAATGTGCTCGATTTTAAATAATTATTTTCTCTCAGTTTTGCACAGGAAGACACTAACAATATTCCAGTAATTAATTTTTATAGTGGGCTAGAAGAAGATAAATTATGTAACATCACAGTCACTAGTGAAATGGTTGTGAAGCAGATAGACAGACTGAAGCAAAATAAGTCGCCGGGTCCTGATGAGGTTTTTCAAGGTTCTTAAGGAATGCAAAATGGAACTCTGTGAACCATTAACTAATATTTTTAATTTGTCTCTTGAAACAGGTGTAGTGTCTGATATGTGGAAGATGGCTAATGTAATTCCTATTTTTAAAACAGGGGACAAGTCGTTACCGTCAAATTACCACCCAATAAGCCTGACCTCAATTGTAGGCAAATTACTAGAGTCAATTATAGCTGAGATTATAAGAAGCCATCTCGATAAACATAGCTTGATTAATGATACTCAGCATGGATTCACAAGAGGCCGGTCTTGTCTAACTAATTTATTAACTTTCTTCAGTAAAGCTTTTGAGGCTGTTGACCACGATAAAGAATTTGATATTATTTACTTAGATTTTAGTAAGGCTTTTGATAGAGTTCCGCACCATAGACTGTTAAAGAAAGTGGCAGCTCATGGCATTGGGGGAAAAGTGCTCTCGTGGATCGAGTCATGGCTCACTGACAGGAAGCAGAGAGTGTTCATAAATGGGGTTAAATCCGAGTGGGGATCTGTAACAAGTGGCGTTTCACTGGGATCAGTCTTGGGCCCGTTGTTGTTTATAATATATATCAATGATCTTGATTAGGGAATTACTAGTGATATGAGCAAATTCGCCGATGACACAAAGATAGGTAAGATAATTGATTCAAACGTAGATGTTATGGAACTTCAGGAGGATTTAAACAAACTCTATTCTTGGTCAGAAAAGTGGCAAATGCAGTTCAATGTAGATAAATGCAAGGTTCTGAAGCTCGGGAGTGCCCATAACCCTAGTACTTATAAGTTAAATGATGTAGAACTTAGCCATACAGATTGCGAAAAGGACTTGGGGGTTATGGTGAGCAGCAACCTTAAACCAAGACAGCAATGCCTAAGCGTACGTAATAAGGCAAATAGATTACTGGGATTTATATCAAGAAGTGTAAGCAACAGAAGTCCAGAGGTCATACTGCAGCTTTATACATCATTAGTAAGGCCACACCTAGATTATGCAGCTCAGTTCTGGTCTCCGTATTACAAAATGGACATAAATTCTTTAGAAAACATTCAGCGTAGGATGACTAAATTAATACATAGCATTAGAAATCTTCCTTATGAAGAAAGATTGAAGACTCTTAAGTTACATTCACTTGTTAGACGAAGAATGAGGGGAGACCTGATCGAAGTGTATAAGTGGAAGATAGGTATTAATAAAGGGGATATTAATAAGGTCTTGAGGATGTCTCTCCAAGAGAGAACCCACAGTAATGGATTTAAATTAGATAAGTTTAGATTTAGAAAGGACATAGGAAAGTATTGGTTTGGAAATAGGGTAGTTGATGAGTGGAACAGTCTACCTAGTTGGGTTATTGAGGCTGGGACTTTGGGTAGTTTCAAATTTAGGTTGGATAAGTACATGAGTGGGAGGGGTTGGATTTGAGTGGGACTTTCACATCAGAGCTTATTTCTTGGGTGGCTTTGAAAATTGGGTTGGGCAAATATTTTGTTAGCGGGATGAATTGTAAAGGACCTGCCTAGTATGGGCCAACAGGCCTCCTGCAGTGTTCCTCCTTTCTTATGTTCTTATTTTCTTATAATTCTTCACTTTTTGTGTGTAATTTATCAATTAAACTTTATAATAGGCCTGTATAGGACTTACATATAGGGTTCGCTACTATCACTGCTTTCAGTATCTGCGGCAGGTCTGTGGAACATATCCCATGCAGATACAGGGGTCCTGCTGTAGTTCTATTCTTGTAACCCAGTCTGAAGCCTGACTTTTTTTTTGACTGCCTGTCCAGCAGACTGTTGCTACCAGACACCCACAGCCCTACATACTCATCACAACCTTGATCATAAGAAACTTTCAGAAAGCAGTGGTTCGCTTTTTGAAAATTTCAGCCATTTTTTTTTTTTTTGTAGCAGTATTTGTGATATCTGTGTTATAACACTTCCCTACACAGTACCTCTTAATATTTTTCTTGTAATATTATATTAATTATTGTAAGCAGTGTGTGTTGTGAAAGGTGACTAAGATGCCGGGAGCGAGGGACTAGTAACCACTTCTCCTGTATTAATTACTGAATTTAAAAAGAAGAATATTTTAAGGTTGGAAAGTTTGAATATGTGGATGTAGTACAGATGATGAGAAAGACTTCATTGTGAATGTTATGAATGAAGAGAAGTTGAATATCTTGGCTCTACGTGAAACAAAGCTGAAGGTGGTAGGGAGTTTCAATGGAAAGAAATAAATAGGATTAGGTCAGGAGTATCTCAGAGAACTAGAGCTAAGGAAGGAGTAGC